TCAAAAAGTTTCTGGAAACAAATGAAAATGAACACACAGCACCCCAAAACCAATGGGACACAACAAAGGGAGTCCTGAGAGGGAAGTTCATAGCAATACAGGCCTACCTTAAAAAGACAGAAAAATTTCAAATAAACAACCTAACCCTAAATCTACAAAACCTGGAGGAACAATAACAAACAAAGCGCTGAGTGAGGAGAAGGAAGGAAGTAATCAAGATCAGAGCAAAATTAAATGACAGAGACTAAAGTAAGAATTCAAAGGATCAATAAATCCAGAAGCTGATTTTATGAAAAGATAAACAAAATCGACAAGCCTTTAAGCAGACTCAACAAGAAAAAAAGAGAGAAAACCAAAACTTAAAATCAGAAACAAAAGAGGAGAAATTACAAGCAATACCACAGGAGCACAAAGTATTGTAAGAAATTACTACAAACTGTATGCTGAGAAAGTTGTAACCCTGGGTAAAATGGATCAATTCCTGGAAATACATAATTTTTTTTATGAGGCCAGCATCATTCTAACCCCAAAACCACATAAAGACAAAACAAAGAAAGAAAACTACAGGCCAATATCACTGATGAATATAGACACTAAAATCATCAATAAAATATTGGCAAACCAGCCTCAGCAATATATTAGAAAGATCATATACCTTGATCAAGTGGGGTTCATCCCAGGTCATACCACTGCAAGGATGGTACAATATATGCAAATCAGTAAATGTAATACACCACATAAACAATATGAAAGACAAAAGCCACGTGATCATATCAATAGATGCTGAAAAAGCATTTGATAAAAGTACCGCTCCCATTTATAATAATTAAAAAACACTCAGCAAAGCGGGAATAGAGGGAGTATATCTGAACACAGCAAAGGCCATATACAAGATACCTATAGCCAACATCATACTCAACGGGCAGAAACTAAAAGCTTTCTACCAAAGATCAGGCACAAAGCAAGGGTATCTGCTTTCACCACTTCTGTTCAACATAGCATTGGAAGTTCTAAGGACAGTGAAAAAAAAAAAGGACATCCAAATTGGAAAGGAGAAACTAAAGTTGTCATTGTTTACAGATGACATGATAGTGTACATAGAAAACTCTATAGACTCCACCAAAAAACTACTCGACCCAATAAATGAATCTGGCAAAACAGTGGTATGTAAAGTCAATATTCGGAAATCGAAGGCATTTTTGTACACCAAAAATGAAATATCAGAAAAAAAAATTAGGGAAAAAAATCCCACTTACTATAGCACGAAGAAAAAGTACCTGGGAATGAACCTAACCAAGGATGTAAATGACCTGTACTGAGAAAACTACAGAACTCTGGAGAAAGAAATTAAGGAAGACACAAATAAATGGAAGCATATAATGTGTTCATGGATTGGAAGAATTAACATCATTAAAATGTCCATACTTCTCAAAGTAATTTACACTTTAATGTAATCCCTATTAAAATACCAATGACATATTTCACAGGTGTAGAACATACATTTCAAAAATGTATATGGAACATAAATGACTCCGAATAGTCACAGTAGTTTTGAGAAAGAAGAACAAAGCAGGATGGATCACAACACCTGATACCAAACTATATTACAAGGCCACTGTAATCAAAATAGTCTGGTAGTGGCATAAGAACAGACATGTAGATTAATGGGACAGAATAGTGAGCTCAGAAATAAACCCATGTCTCTGTGGTCAATTAATATTTGACAAAGGGACAAGACCATAAAATGAAGTAAAAATGCCCTCTTCAACGAGTAGTGTTGGGAGACCTGGTCAAGTACATTTTAAAAAATGACACTAGACCACCAACTTTTACCATATACAAAAATAAACTCCAGATGGATAAAAGACTTAAATATGTCATGTCACCATAATAATGCTAGAGGAGAACATAAGTAGAAGAATTTCAGATATCCCCATGCAGCAATATTTACACCAATATGTCCCCTATAGCAAGAGATAGAAAGGAAAGAGTAAACAAATGGTTCTACATCAAATAAAAAAGTTTCTGCATGGCTAAAGAAAACATCATCAAAATGAAAAGGGAACCAACTATATGGGAAAATATATTTGCTTATGATATCTTGCAAAAAGGTTTGATCTCCAAAATATATGAAGAACTCATGCAACTCCACTCCAGAAAGACAAACAATCCAGTTGAAAATGGGCAAAGGGTACTTCCAGCCAAGATGGAGGCATAGGTAGATATACCTTGTGTACTCACACAAGCAAAAGAAGGACAACAAATGGATTTAAATACAAAAAACAACCAGAACTGCCAGAAAAGTGAACTATATGGAAGTCCAACAAACAAGGAGTTAAAGAGGACATTCGTCCAGACTGCTAGGAAGGGTGGAGATGGGCAGCAGGGTTGGACAAGAAGGGGTGGCAAAGTGGCTGCTGGCAGACTGGGATATCCCACGTTTGCGTGCAGATAGACCAGAGGAACAACTGGAGAGTGAGAGAGACCCAGAGTTCCAGCACTGGAAAATAAAGACTCAAAACCTCTGGCTGTAAAAAAACCTGTGGGTGCTGCGGCAGTGGGAGAAACTCGCAGCCTCACAAGAGAGTTCGTTGGAGAAACCCACAGGGTCCTAGAACCAGAAGGGCCCGATTTGCTTCTGGGTAGTGAGGGGAAACACTGAAAGCAGAGTGAGAGCCGAGCAAGCAGCATTCTTCCTTCTCTGACCCCTCCCCCACATACCACGCCACAATGCAGCGATGTTCATCGTCCAGTCCTGCTGAATACCTAAGGCTCTGCCCCTTACAATGTAACAGGTGTGCCAAGACAAAGAAATATGACATGAATGAGAGAATAGATCAAAACTCCAAAAAAAAAAAAAAAACTAAGCAATGAAAATATAGCCATCCTATCAGATGCAGAGTTCAAAATACTGGCAACCAGAATGCTCACAGAAATGGTTGAGTATGGTCGCAAAATAGAGGAAAAAGTGAAGGCTATGCAAAGTGAAGTAAAGGAAAACATACAGGGAGCCAACAGTGAACGGAAGGAAAGTGGGAGTCAAATCAACAATTGGGAGCAGAAGGAAGAAACAAACATTCAACCAGAACAGAATGAAGAAACAAGAATTCAGAAAAATGAGGAGAGGCCTAGGAGCCTCTGGGACAACTTTAAATGTTCCAAGATCTGCATCATAGGGGTGCCAGAAGGAGAAGAGGAAGAACAAGAAATTGAAAACTTATTTCAAAAAATAATGAAGGAGAAATTCCCCAATCTGGCAAAGGAAATTGACTTCCAGGAGATCCAGGAAGCTCAGTTCCAGAAAAGTTGGACCCAAGGAAGCACACCAAAGCACATCATAATTAAGTTACCCAAGATTAAAGATAAGGAGAGAATCTTAAAAGCAGCAAGAGAAAAGGAGACAGTTACCAACAAGGGAGTGCCCATAAGAATATCAGCTGATTTCTCAAAAGAAACCTTGTAGGCAAAGAGGGCCTGGCAAGAAGTTTTCAAAGTCATGAAAGACAAACACCTACATCCAAGATTACTCTATCCAGCAAAGCTATCATTTAGAGTGGAAGGGCCAATAATGGGCTTCCCAGATAAGGTCAAGTTAAAGGAGTTCATCATCAAATCCTTATTATATGAAATGTTAAAGGGACTTATCTGAGAAAAAGAAGGTCAAAACTATGAACAGTGAAATGACTACAAACAACGGTCAACAACTGAGCCTAAAACAGAAACAAACTAAGCAAACAACTAGAACAGGAACAGAATCACAGAAATGGAGATCAAATGGAGATCACAGTGTTGGGGAGAGGGGAGGATGGGGGAAAAAGTGCAGGATTTAAGATGCATAAATGGTAGGTACAAAGTAGACAGGGAGAGGCTAAGAATAGTATAGGAAATGGAGAAGGCAAAGAACTTATATGTATGACCCATGGACATGGACTAAGAGGAAGGAATGCTGGTGGGAGGCAGTTGCAGGGCTGAGGGAAATAAAAGGGGTGGAAAAAAACAGGGAAACTGTAATCACATATGAATAAAGTACACTTTTAAAAAAATAGGCAAAGGACCTGAACAGACACTCCTTCAAAGACGGCATACAGAGGGCCCAGAGGCAGATGAAAGGATGCTCAGCATCAGTAGCCAAGAGAGATGCAAATTAAAACTGCAATGAGATACCACTCCGCACTGGTCAGAATGACCATCACTAACTAATCAACAAACAACAGGTGCTGGCGAGGTTGTGGAGAACAGGGAACCCTGGTACACTGTTGGTAGGAATTCACACTGGTGCAGCCACTGTGGAAAAAAGTATGGAATTTCCTCAAAAAAAAAACCAAAAAATGAAACTACCTTTTGACCTGGTGATTTCACTGCAGATATTATACCCTAAGAATCCTGAAACACCAATTCAAAAGAACCTATGCACCCCAATGTTCACAGCAGCATTATTTCCAGTAGCCAAGTGCTAAAAAGAGCCCAAGTGCTATATTTACAGAATGGAATACTACACAGCAGAAAGAAAGCAGGAACTCCCACTCTTCACGACAGCATGGGTGGAACTGGAGAGCATTGTGCTAAGTGAAATAAGCCAGGCAGTGAAAAACAAATACCATATGATCTCATCTGTAAGTGGAACCTAATGAACAAAACAAACAAGCAAGAAAAATAGGTCAGAGGACATGGAAATGAACAAAATGACAGTGACCATAGGCAAAGGGGGAGGAGGATAACAGGAGAAAGAAGGGGAAGGGTCAAGGAACACATATAAAGGACCCATCGACAAGGACAACAGTGGGGAGGATTGAATATAAGAGGCGGGTCAGGGCAGGGGAAAGCAATGGGATACTCGGGACGACTGTAATTGAACAATTAAAAAAATTTTTAAATGCTATGCTAAAAAATGTTGCTCTATATTGATTTTTATGAAAAATAACACCCCCATGGCAGAAGAAAAATTCAATCAAAGCACAAATGTTTTACTTCAAACCAATTTTTAATGGTCTCCTGATTTCCCAGTTTTACTTATGTTGAATGCCAATTAAAAAATACATGAAGTACTCTTGTTTTATTCAGAGCTTTTTGGTTTTTTGTGTTTTATTTAATGCTCTGCCTATTTAGTTAGTACCTGCTATGTTTTTCAGAGTTATCCAGTCTGTGCATATTTGAGGAGATAATTTTCTGTAGAGTTTAGAGTGTCTGGCTTTCCAACCAAGGCCTTATAAAGGAACATCTTGAAAACACCCCTTAGCTCTGAGATGAGAATGTTACATAACTTACCAATTGACATACTATGAAAAGCTTATAGTAACTTTGATAATAAAATATGAGTTACAGATTTTATATAAACACTCAACTATACATTTTATAGAGGTTTTATAAGTGAATAATTTAAAAAGTAAAGCATGTGCTGTAGCTCAAAAAGCAGCTCTTATGAATAGCATCTGTCAAGATGGTCATTACACTTACTGAAGGTTTTGTTATAAAGGGTCAGTTTTAAACATAAAGACAGTAAGGCCCTAAGACATGATAATTTGAATAAGATTACATCAAACCATACTTTAACATTTTTAGAAATATTACAGTTCAACCTCAAATTATTAAAGAACAAATAAGAATAGTATAATGTACTCTTCATCTCACTGCCTTGTTAATTTTGTTTTCTTAACAGCAAATAAAAGAACACAGATATTGCTAAGTCAAGCATTCCATTTACAGTACAGTTCTTTTTAACACATATTTGGTAACAAAGTGTTAAATACTCAGTGTCTTCTTTTTTTTGAGAAAGAATATCCAAGCATGAGATATATGCAAAATCATGTGTATGTGAAAAGAAAATGCAGTCGATGCTTGTTTCTCTTAATTCTGATATATCAATAGCTTTGCAAAATTCTGATGAAATTTTTTGTCCTAAAGTCAGTCACTGGATATACCATATGGGAATAGATTTTTGCTTCTGAGCATAATACCAACATTAATAATAGAGTTCAAGTACCCCAAATGCAACAATTTTTAATTTTAGATTAAATGGATATTATTAATTGCTAATTATTATTCTCTGAAGTTCCCAAGCTGAACACTCATTCTGCTCAAAACACAACGAAATGTTGCAGGTTGCACTTCCCAGTACTTCATCGGGTTGTTGAATAAACTTATTGCACTGTATAAAGATTTCTTCATCTTTGGCACTGTTGGGCAGAAGTCATTCACTCCCACTTTTGTAATTGAATTAGAATGAAGGAAGATTACCTGTTTTAGTAGGGAAAAGAATGGATTTTAAATACATAGTACATGTAAAAGAATATACTCTTTATAGTTCATAGGCTTATTTTACACTGATTTGAATGTATTTCACTTAAAATGTACTCATTTATAACTGTTAAATACTTAATTTAACAACTCAAGCTCATGTGTTATACACAAAAGTGTTTTATGTGTGCAGTATGATACAGGACTCATGCCGAGGCCTAGAGCACACTGCTTGGTAGACATCATTCTTCTCTACACATGTATGGGGGGTGGAGGTGAGTAGGGGGGGTGGGGTGTGTGTGTGTGTGTGTGTGTGTGTGTGTGTGTGTGATCATTTCAGTGCCATATGTACAATAATTTTAAAAGTGTTTTAAAAGTATTAGAGCCCTGAATAGTGTGGCTCAGTTGGTTCCACAAAGCAAAGGGTTTGATACCAGGTCGGGGCACTTGCCTGGAATGCGGGTTTGGTCCTCAGTCCCTGGTTGGGGTGTGTACAAGAGGCAACTGATCAGTGTTTCTCACATCAATGTTTCTCTCCCTTTCTCCCTCTCTCTCCCCTCTCTAAAATAAATAAGTAAGTAAGTGTTTTTAAAAGTATTAAAAATGAGCAGAATAATGCAATTTAATGCTTCAAGAATTAGGCTTGCAGTATGAATGTGAAGAATCCAGCATTTTATGTAATCAAGGAAGGGAAGTGTAGAGCTGCATTTTTGTAAGTTGTTTTATAGAAAAATGTATCTATCATCATCTTAAATATATATCTGTAATACAGCATCAGTAGTTGAATATTTGCACCAATGCAGAAAATGCAATATTATTAGTTTTGTATATGTCTTTAAATTAAATTATTATTGAGGATGGACAATATATAATCTTCTTTTCATTCCCTTTAAAACTCTAAATTCCTTCTTTGGGCTTTTTTGGCAACTGAAATTTCTGGGTAGTAAAAACAATATACTTAACTGATAGCAGTTTGGCATATTAAAAAAGTTGGACCCTTTTGCTGGCAAAGCTAAGATATTGGTCTGGCTGTTTCTCTGGAATCTGCCTTTATGTCTTGGTGAGATTGACCTGAGCCAGTCATGAGAATTCTAGGCATTACTAAAACCTTTAAGTTTAATGTTAGAGTCCCCCCTGTGCCTCTGTCTTGGCGATTTTGTGACAGATGCTTTTGTGATTGCTGTGCATTTCCCAGAAGCTCAGTGTCAGTGCAAGGTGTCATTTATCACCATACTGACTGCATTGGAAATGGGAACCAGCGCTGGACACATGTCTGTTTGCTTTATGAATAGTCATTAAGTTGTACCCTTATGACTTGTGTTCCTCTCTCTTTGTATTAAAATTCTATTCATTTTGTTTAAGTGCTAACAAGAGTGTGGGTAGACTTAAGAGCTCCCAGAAGCTGGGATCAGAGTTGTGGACTCAAGTACGCAAAGATGGGACAGCTCTAGAGAGAAATGACTCAGGTCCAGCTTGCTGGTTAAAAATAGACATTTAAATCTACGACTTTAAAAAGTAAGAGCAAAAGCTGTAACTTTGAGATGAACACCTGCATATAGCAAATTCATTTTGATGGCTTGCATCTCAAAAGAGTGTAGTTAACAAAACTTTTAAAGATAAATAGGAAAGAAATGTAGAAGCAAGTAGTTGAAAGCCCAGCTTTGTTCTCAATATGTTTTTGCTTCTTGGAAGATGAGAACATTGTACAGCGAGAAGTCATTCACTCCCACTTTTGTAATTGAATTAGAATGAAGGAAGATTACCTGTTTTAGTAGGGAAAAGAATGGATTTTAAATACATAGTACATGTAAAAGAATATACTCTTTATAGTTCATAGGCTTATTTTACACTGATTTGAATGTATTTCACTTAAAATGTACTCATTTATAACTGTTAAATACTTAATTTAACAACTCAAGCTCATGTGTTATACACAAAAGTGTTTTATGTGTGCAGTATGATACAGGACTCATGCCTGTCACAAAATCGCCAAGACAGAGGCACAGGGGGGACTCTAACATTAAACTTAAAGGTTTTAGTAATGCCTAGAAAACAGAAAAGCATATGAGAAGAAGAGACTAAGGTGAAATGAGGTTACGTATGGATTCTTAATTTGAGGTCTGTAGATGAGAATCAGGGAGATCTGTAAAACTTCTAAAACTTTGTGCAAAAGGTTGTTTTCATTTTTATTCTTGAGAGGATCTCTATGTAATTCTCCAAGGATTCTGTGGCCCCTCCCAGCTAGTCAGGAGTTGCCAGATTAAAGGAAAATGATTTTTAGTAATGAACAAGAAATGTGACCCTCTAATGTTCCAAATACTGACTTTTGATTTTATATTATGGCTTGAATTTTTTAAAAAGCATACACACTTCTAACCTAGCACCACTTTGGTAGTTAAAATACCTAGGAACTTGTCCACATGGTTTGCCTTTATTAAGCATGCCCAGAATAAAAGAATATGTGGTCTTACTTGATTTCCTCCACATAGCCACTGCCACCCAGAAACCTGAAATTAGTTAGTACCTGTGTCATAATGGCCTTGGCAGTTTCAGTAGGAGAAAAGGAAGGATGGACATGGGTTACCTGAGTGTTTTAGCTGATGTTCCCATAGAAACCATCCTCCACGCGCTCTCCAACTTTACCCTTGGAACTTGGTTTTTGCTTTAGGTGTTAATAGATTTCATAAGAACAAAGAAAAGTACTAATATCTACTTGTATAAAACACAAGTAGAATGTCTTACCTGGAGGTATTTCAACTCCTGTAATCCTGAAGGGATTTTTCTTAGTTTATTGTTTTCCAAGTGTATTTCTCTTATGCGTGGTATGTTAGCAAGACTTCCATTTTCAATATCTGTGATTCTGTTGTTTCCTAGGCCCAGCCTAAAAGTGATATAAAATTCATCAACTCTGAAGAATGGAGTGATACAGTCAGATGAAAACATGAAAGAGTTAGAAATATAAACCTGTCCTATATATGTGTTCAGAGGAAGGTATTTCATGGTTTTATTTAATAACCTATTTCAGTATGTTACCAGCCCTCTCCTCCACTCTCAGAAAATTCTTTGTGTAACATTTGAAAATTGTTTCCTCATCCTACTTGGTGCCTCTTCCATTATTGAAACAGAATAATAGCAGTACTTTCCAGTTTTCCTTTCAAAATCTCCAGTAGTATCAATATAATCTTGACTAGGTCCCTATAATATTCTCCAAGAAATTTCATTAATATCTTCATCATATAGACTACCACTTGTAAGTTAGAATTTGGGGAATTTTTACCTTTGCAGATCCTTGTATCGTTTAAAATCCTCAAGTTCCACTGTTGAAATTTTATTAAAATCTAAATGAAGCTCTAATAAAGTTGATGGTAGTTCTAATGATAAAGAGAGAAAGGTGTGTTAGATCAAGTAAGATCAAGCCCCATTGATTGTACTTGTTAAGTTTCACATTATAGTCTTAGGTAATTTTTTAGGAATCTACTTTTATTAAACTTTCTATTATGGAAACTTTCACACCTACAGAAAAATGGAAGCTGGTATTACAAACTATCTTGCTGTTGCCCAAGTTCAACAATTATCTTAGTATTTCCAATCTTGTTTCATCTACCCCATTAGTTATTGATTATTGATTTTTTTAATTGAAATTTTTGAGGTGACCTTGGTTAATAAAATTATATCACTTTCAACTTTACAGTTCTGCAATACAACATCTGTATATTGTATTGTGTTCACCACCCAAAGTTAAGTCTCCTCCTGTCATTTATGCCCTCGTTATTGTCCTCTACCTTCCCTTATCCCCCTTTCTCTCTGCTGTTTTCTATGTCTATGAGTTTTGTTCTCTCTCTTTTTTTTTTTTTTTTTTTTTGCTTAATCACTTCACCTTTTTCACCCAGCCCACCAACCCCCCTTCTCTGATTACTGTTATTAAAAACAACTGATTTTTGTTTACTCATTTTTTTTGCTGGCCTATTTAAAATTAAATTCTATGCACAATGTTATTTCACTTGTAAAAACTTTACTAGATGTCTTTAATTCATAAAGTCATCTCCTATTTATATAATCATCATGTGAATATCACATCTAACAAAATTAATCATAATTATCTACTAAATCTAATATTAATTTCCCTAATGATCTCAAATATATTATTTTGCAGTTGATTTGTTCAACTTGGGATCCTAATAAAGTTTACAGAATACATTTATTTGGTTCTTATGTTTCTAAAAATCTATTCTTCTACTATATTCTCCCTCCTTTTCTTCCTCTTCTATCAAATTGTTTCAGATATTGATTTGTTTGAGATACGCATTTGTGAGATTGGCTGATGACTTCCCAAGATAGTTTATCATGGTCCTCTAGTCCTATTAATTCTTAGGACCTAGTAGTTAGATCTAGAGACAGACCAAGTTAGACTCAGAAGATCACCCTTTCACCTGATGCTCTTGGCATTCATTGATGACTGCTAGGTCCATTACTTCATTAAGAATGGGAACATGATGATTTTCCTGATTTTGTCATTCTTTAAGCATTTATTAGGTGGAATTTGCTAAAGAATTTTTTTCTTCATCAGTTATTTAGTTACTGTGTAATAGAGCCTTGCAGAAAAGCTTGATTCTTTCAAGAAATGAATTAGTACAATACCCAGGAGTAACCAGTGAATTTTTTTTTTTTAAAGATGGTGGCAGAGTAGGAGAGTTTATCTCATACCACCTCCCAGAACCAAGCTGAAAATAAAAATAAAGAGAGGAACTTCCACCTTAAATAAACAACTGAGGACTGCCTAATGAGGAGATACTTAACCAATCATGGGCAGAAACCACCTCATGACTGGTAGAAGGGCAGGCACACAAAAGGGGCCAGCATCATTTTCAGAGGTGGCTGGGTTACGACCAAGATGGGGGCATGGCGGAGGGAGCCGCCCCCAGAGAGGAGTGAGGCCTGGACCTCAGACCATGCTCCCAAGCATAGAGTGCCAGTGTTGGGATCACCCACCCATGCAGCATGCAGTGGTGAAAGGCCATGGGTTTTTTTGCCTGACAGAATAAGTAGGAACCTGCTTGAGACAACGCCACCTTTGTTTTTTTTCTTTCTTTTCTTCTAAGGGGCCAGTGCAGAGATTCTGTGTTCCCAGCCACTCACCTTTGGCTCCGGCAAAAGGTGGGCAGCACTGTCTGTAGTGGAGCAAAGAGAGTCTGGATTTGGGACCCTTGGGGGAGGGCCATGGGGGAGTGGCTGCAGGGTTCCTGGTGCTGTGACATTAACGCCATACTGCAGCAGCCATTTTTCTTGAGAAAAGCAAAAACCCTCCCAGGGGAGAAACAGTTACTCCATCCTGTGGGAAAACTGCTCGCCCTAGCCTCTGAAAGCCTCCTAATCCCATCCTTAAGTCCTGCTTGCCACACCCTTTGAAATCCTGCTTGCCCCACCTGGCATCTGTCTCAGGTTCCCCCAACCTGCATCTTATTCCCTGCCAAGGAGACAGTAACATAGGAACATAGGTAGACTCAGGAGTGTTAGAGACTGACTTTAGGGCATGGCCATTGCATACAGCTTCTCAGGAACCAGATTGTGCTTCCAGCTCACAAGAAAGCCTAGGAACACTGTGAGACCCTAACTCTGGGCTCTGGAAGTCCCACCTCCTACCCTACTATGGGCTTTGCCCTTCTGAGTTCAGGAAAATAATATGTGACAGACTGAGACATGTGAACACACCAACTATCTTCCCTGAAGTCTGAATGGCACCTCCTACAGGAGATCCACACATCCCATCATACTGATTCTACCAGAAGCCCTCTTAGAAACAGACAGGTCAGCAGCTAGACTAAGACTAATGGCAGGACTGCAGGCAGAGGCAGGTGAAGGCAGTACCTGAAGTGCTTTTGGATATTAGTTGAGCCACCCTTGGTCCTGGTACTGCTAAAAAGCCAGGAGTGCAGAGCAGTGAGGAAGACCGCAGAGTCTGTAGACTCTGTAGAATGCTTGTAGCTTTGAACAGGCTGCCTAAAGCTAGATGAGGACAACTTCAGAACACCAGAGATATATCCAGAAGGAGAAGCCAGCAGGCAAGCACTAGACTTTTCTGAGACAAATTCCACCTCAATCTTTTTCATTATTTGAGTTTTCTTTCACATTGCTTTTTAACTTTTTTCCTGTTTTTTAATTTTGTTCCTATTTTTCCACTTCAGATCTCTTATTTTGCCACCTTCCTTCCCTTTATATTCATTTTAAGTTTTATTTTTTCCCTTTCTTCACCTTGTTTCTATTCTTTACTCTTACCTCTCCTCCCTCTATCCTCTCAAAATCATTTTTCTTTCCTTTAGTTATCTGATACTCTTTTTTCTTTCATATAATATTCTCATTCTCTTTCCACCTTTATTACCCTTTGCTCATTTGTTGTTGACATTGCTGCTGTTGTTGAGGGATATTGTTGCTGGCATGTGTTCTTTTCTGTGTTCTTTTGTTATTCTGTCAGAACCTGTACAACAGCATATAAGACATGGTGGGCATTGACTCTCAGTTAGCCTGCTGGAGGAGAGCACCCACCAATGAACAAGCCAACAACAATCAAAACCCAAATAAAATAGGAGAGTGCACACAAAACTTCATAAAGTGCATCCCTAGAGCATCCAGCTCAGGAGGTCAAAGAGACTGCGCACTTAGTCCCACAGAACTCCTCCCACTGAACGCCACTGCATGAAAACAGAGAGTCAAAGCAGATCAATCTAATACATAGAAACAATTGAGTCACCTAAAATGGGAAGACAAAGAACCCCCAATATAAAGTAAAGGAGGAATCCCCAGAAAAAGAGCTAAATTAAATGGAGGCAAGCAATTTATCAGACATAGAGTTCAAAATAATGGTTATAAGGAGGCTCAAGGACTTACTGAGAACTATAAGGAACTTTATGGAGCTACAAGGAACTTCATGGGAGCTACATCAGCATTAGACAGGACATAGAGCCCTGGCTAGTGTGGCTCAGTGGATTGAGCACTGGTCTGCAAATGGAAAAGTTGATGGTTCAGTTGCCAGTCACAGCACATGCCTGGGTTGTGGGCCAAGTCCCCAGTTGGGGATGTGCAAGAGGCAACCTGTTAATGTATCTCTTGTGCATTGATATTTCTCTCCTTCTCTTTCTCCCTCCCTTTCCTTTTCTCTAAAGCTAAATAAAAATGAAATTTTAAAGATATAGAAACTGTATAAGAACCAGGTGGAAATGAAAAATGTGGTAGGAGGAATTAAAAGCAAGCTAAATAAAGCACAGGATTGAATCAGCAAGTTGGAAGACAAGGTAGGATAAAACCACCCAGTCAGAGCAACAAAATGAAAAAAGACTTTGGAAGAATGAGAATAGTTTAAGGAATCTTTGAGACAACATGAAATGTAACAATATTCGTATCATAGGGCTACCAAAAGGAGAAGGGAGCAAGTGATAGAAAACCTGTTTGAAGAAATAATGACAGAAAACTTCCCTAATTTGGCAAGTGAAAAAGTCTCACAGGTTCAGGAAGCACAGAGAGTCCCAGTCAAGATGAACCAAAAGAGGCCCACTCAAAAGACACATTACAATCAAAATGGAAAAAGTTTAAAGACAAAGAATCTTAAAGGCAGCAGAGAAGAAACAGCTAGTAACATACAAAGGAGCTCCTATAAGACTATCAGCCAATTTGTCAATGGAAACCGTACAGCCTGAAGGGACAAAATATTCCAAGTAATGAAAAACAAGGACCTGCAACCAAGACTACTCTGTCCAGCAAAACTCTCATTTAAAATTGAAGGCAAAATATTTTCCCAGGTTCAAAACAAAACAAAAAAAAAACCAAACAAAAAAAAAAACCCAACTAAAGAAATACATTTCCACTAAATGGGCATTGCAAGAGATATGAAAGGGACTGGTTTAAGAAGAAAAAGATATATAGAGAGAAACACAGGTACAAATGGAGAAAATGGCAGTGAATAAGTACCTATCAATAATAACCTTAAGTGTAAATATATTAAATGCTCCAATCGAAAGATATAAGGTAGCTGAATGGATAAAAAAACACAACCTGCAAATATGCTGTCCACAAGAGACACACCTCAGAACAAAAGATGTACACAGACTGAATGTGAAGGGATTGAAAAAAAACATTACATGCAAATGGACATGAAAAAAAAAAAGCTGGGATAGCTATACTTGTATCAGACAAAATAGACACAAAACTAAGTCCATTATAAAAAGACAAAGAAAGTCACTACATAATTCTTAAGGGACTATCCAATAAGAGGCTATAACCCTTGTAAACATATATACGCCCAATGTAGGAGTACCTAAATATATATAGAAAAAGTTGGAGTGCTTTAAGAAAGAGATCGACAGGAATACAGTCATTGTGG